TATATAAAGGTAGGTAATTTTTGCATTATTATGTGGCTGACGGAACATGAACAATGTTTGACAAAATATAGGCTTCGCGGAAGTTTGCCACGGACATAAAATCGAAATTGAACCCCAAAAAAGACAATATTTATATTTCTATACCCTTAGCCCTATGACCAGAGAGGGTATATATCATTTGATACGGCCAAAACGTGCTTCATCAAAGTAACGGTCTTAGACCCTAGTTCTCTCTGGATCAAATCCGTTTCAGGACATTTGGAGTCGATCTATCGATTTCCGTCCGTCTGCCTGGATGCCTGGTGTGCACGATAACTTTCGAAGGGAGTATCCGATTTTGTACAAATTTGATACATCGTAATGCTATTATTAAACTGCGACCGAGTTCGGAGATGGATAATATCGTTTCAATCCTTCTAGTACCTCCCCTACAAAAGATCGAAATTTTCAAAACTAAATATTTTACTGCACAGAAAGGTAAAGGATAATCCGTTCTTGCCTCAACTTTGCAAATCTTAATAGTTGCATCAGTGCTAAGTCAAGTGCGAAAATGGACAATATCGGTCCACTCCAACAAATTTCTCCCCCACAAAGGGTTAAAATTTTGAATATTTATAACTTTTATAAATTGTAATGCGAGAGTCCGATTGGCTTCAAAGTACACACATCAAAATATTTTTATTAACCCAAGGTCTAGTGTGAAGATGGAATATATCGGTAAATTCCTTCTAATACCTCCCCCACAAAATGCCAGAATTATTAATATCCGTCAAGCTTATAAAACCCGGATATAAGATCCGATCATATTCAGACTTGGTACAACTCTATATTTATATGTACACAAGATCTGTTATAAAGATGGTAGAGATTGGACCATTCCTTGTGGTACCTCCCCCACAATGGATCAAAGTTTCAAAAAAGTAAAGGATTATCAAATCAGAAATAGGCTTCCGATTCTCCTCATATGTCACGCATCCCATTATTTCTACTAACACAAGATCTGCTGTGAAGATGGAATATATCGGTCCACTTCTTCTGGTACCTCCTCATATGTGATGAGCGATAGCCATAAAATCGGATAAAGATGTATATCGATCTCGATAAAATTTGACAGAGGTATTTTCGACCAGTTTCTGATATCAAACATCATTTTTGTGATGAAACATATATATGAGAGCTATAGATTTATATGAACCGATTTTAACCAAAATTTGGAGAACTTGATTTTAGGGTAAATTAAGACAGATTTGCCAGAATTCAGTCCTATTAGGTCGATATTAGCCATTTGATGCACAGAAAACCTTAAATCGGATAAAGATATATTTGGGAGCTGTATCGAAATCTGAACCGATCTTGACAAAATTAAAATATTATTTCTAAGCTGTATTTGATATCTGGTTCCAAAGATTATTGTTGTGGGGTGCATATTACGCATGTGAGAGACTTCAAACGGCAAATCGGATGAAACATATATTTCGGAGCTATAGCTTGTTTTTAGGATAAATTAAGTCAGAATTGCGAACATTCAATAAATTTGGGCTGATATTAGCCATTTGGTGCACAATAAACATGATATCGAATAGAGATCTGAACGGATCACAATAAAATTTGACAAATGTATTTTTGAGCTCCAAAAATTAACTGGTGCCAAAGATCATTGTTGTGGAATGCATATTACGCATGTGAGGGTCTTAAATCCCTAAATAGAATGAAATATAAATATGAGAGCTATAGCTATATCTGAACAGATTTTCTCCAAATTTAACGTATTTGCTTCTAGACTGCATTCGGTCGGATATGCCAAAATTCAGTACATTTGAACTCATATTGTCCATTTGATGCACAATTAACCCGAAATCGGATGAAGATATATATGGAAGCTATATCTAAATTTGAACCGATTCTCACCAATTTAAATAGGGTTCGCCCTTGCGCCAAACAAATATTGTTTGGAAAATTTGATCTCAATCGGATAAAAAATACGACCTGCATTTTGTTCACAAAAATACATGGACAGACGGACTGACATGTATAAATCGACTCAGAAAGTGATTCTATGCAGATTCTCAAAAGTAACTATGAGTCTATCTCGCTTTCTTCTCCATTTACCAAAACAAATGCACAAAGACATAACACACTTACCACTTTGCGGTGTAAGGTATGACAAGTTAAAAAGTGGTAAGTTCGGCCGGGCCGAACTTTGAATATTGACACGAATTTTTCAATTTTTCAAAAAATAAAATCCGTTAAATATTCTGTTAAAATCTTAAAAATACCGAATATAGCCGTTATATTGAGGACTCTACGACGTGAACCTACGTAGGCTTTGTTTGTCATAAGCCATTACCGTGTTCAAATTCGGAACTAAATAAACGGCGAATAATGTAGCTAAAATTATCAAAAATCAAACCATTATATCGGAGCTGTATGAAGACCTGGACCTGCATAGACAATTTTCTGTCACAGGCTGTAGCATCCATTACGAACTTCAAAAACGACATCTCAAACAATTTCGGTAAGTATTGTACCTAAAATCGTCAAAATACCGAATATAGGGAAGTACTGATATATGGGGCCTATACGAAGACCTAGACCTGCATACACAATTTTATGTTACAGACTGTAGTTCCCATTACGAACTCTTAATACGTAATTTAAAACTACTCCGGTGAATATTTGGAGGTACCGTTGAAACATTTCCCGTAAATAATGTCGCTAAAACTTAACTTGTTATACCCTACAACACTTTGTGTTGGGGGTATTATAAGTTTGATTGGGCCAAAAATTATGTAACACCACGAAATATTGGTTTCCCACATAGGAAAGTATATATGGATCTTCCTATATCGCCGAGCTGAGTCGATCTAGCTATGTATGTCCGTCCGTCCGTCTGTCCGTCTGTCCATGTTAAGTTGTAATCACTCTACAGGTCGCAATTATGGCCCGATCTTCACGAAATTTAATGCAATTATGGCCCGATCTTCACGAAAATAATGTAAATAGAACCCTATTTCTTTTGGAGATGATCGAATAATATTTAGGTGTTGAAATGGACCAAAAACTGAAAATTTTCCTGATTTTGCAGTTGCTCTTCAGGTCACAATTATAGACCAATCGAAGCGAAAGTTAGCATGGGGCTAGAGCTTTGGGCTGGGCAGAATCCTTCCAATTTTGATGGTCATCGGGTAACATTTAGTGGTTGAAATAGACCATAGCATTTGTGATAAATAAAAGTCAAATTTTTTATTAAACCGCGAATATTTTTAATGCCGGCGAAGTCTCAAATAGACGAACAGGTCAATTCTGACCGTTACGTAGATGCCGATAGGAAAAATATCGGATATATATAGCGAAATATATACAATGTATATGTACAAAGGAAGGGGATGTTAGCTAAAATGCTTATTTCTCCAAAATGGCTGGTGCGATTTTGACAAATTTTGTAAAATTAGAATGCCCTTTTGGCATTAAAGTATAAAATCTAAAAAAATCGCTTAAAAAGATACCAATAATGATGTTAATATAGATTTTGTAGTATTTTGTGACATATTTTTATTTTTTCATATTTTTTATCGCATGCGATTTTTTCAATTTGACTTATAATATTGTGTATATTTTGTAATATTTTTGCACTTTACAGCACAGGTTGGGGATATTGTATATATATTGCAATTATCGTCCGATCCTCACGAAAAGGGTAGGGTTAGGCTCAGAATAGCTAGGCCGCAATATATTTAGGGGTTGAAATTGACCAACAAAAAATGTTCCTGATTTTGTAGCCATTATAATACAAATAGAAACCAAAGGATACAAAATCTCGCATGAAGTTAGATTTTAGGACTCTGGGTAGAATGGACCACTACTTTGTGTAAAAAATACCAGCATTACTTACAGGCGATATCCGACGATAGCCAAATATCGTAGACAAGAAAACCATATAGATGAGTCTAAATTTGGGGATTCAGAGGGGCCTCTTGCTTTTGGAGATGGTCCAAATGAACCAAAAACAGAAAAAAATCCTGATACACAATTAGAGCCATTCGACATGCCTGGGAAGAGCGATAAGGACAGGGAAGAATTCTAGCATTTTTGCACAACAACTAGCAGCACGACGGAGTGCGTTAATATTGGGCAAATGTCCCTGGTCAAAATGCTAAGGGTAATATCTGGGCAGTGCACCGTGACATAATTTCTAAAGCGAAATCTTCCAAAATGGATTTGGACATAAGAGGGCTTGTAACATGTTGTAGTTTTGTAGGGTATCACATAGTCGGCCTCGCACGACTATAGCCTTTGCTTACTTGTTACCCTTAAAATTTCCATTATTTTGACTTAATTTTTTTTGGAAATCCAAAATTTGGGGTTGCCTTTTGAATTCTAAGCCACAGAGCTCAATTTCTTGAACCTTAGCTCAAATTCTCTAAATGTTTCGAGAGTAATTTAAGTTTTCTATATTGTCAAGATTTTCCATAGCTCCACCTAACAATTTTTTTTTTCATCTTCAATTGTTTTTATATTCATGACCTCCCTTCAAAATAATACGTAAAACAATGCAAGAGAGACTTCCACTAATCACATTCAATTTCCAGCGATTTCCTGTCACATGAAAGCAATGCCATTTCCTCTTCCATGGAGGCAACATTTTATTACGGCGTATTTAGGCTAATTATATATTCACTTGTTTATTGTTTACTTAATTTGCGTCTAAATATTATTTCATTTCTTTTGTTTCTACTTCGCCTTCTTTTGAACCATTGAAGTCAAATCGAGGCAACATCGAAAAAAAAATGAAAACAAAAGAACCGGTATCACACGATGATGACTTATTTATTCCATGCGATAATGTTTTCCCAAATTTTCACATTTCCTAAATAAAGCAAAACATCGAAAAAAGTTAATTATCAAGGTCAGCTATTGACGGTTTTTTTCCAGAAAAAACACAAAGCTAAAATCACAAATTTTCCGCATAGCAGTCCTTTTTTATTTTGAATTTCTCTCTCACTAGTTGTTACACAAGAATTATTTTTTGATTTGTCCTTTTCCCAAAAATGTCCTTAAATTAAAAATGGTGACACACTCAATGATCCATAAATACCGCCATAGCCTCCACTTCCAATGTAATCGTAGCTATTTTGATGATAGCCATACGAATAGTGGTGACTGGGTATTTCCTGATAGTGATAATAATGATTATACGGCTGTTCATAGTAGACAGGTGGGCGGTAGAATGGTGTGCCAAATGAAATTCCAGCCGAAATAATGGGAACTGCCACAGCCATGCCAAGCACTCCCAAAATTAAAAACTGCAATGAAAGGGAGATTTTATATGTAATAATGCCAGTTTGTTGCCTGTGACGTTGTGATGCTCTTACCAATTTACACAGAAGTCCCGTCATGTTGCTATCCTCCAAATGTAAAATTAGCAACTGTTGCATCCGATTTTGATTGACCGTGGATATGCCCATCACATTTGCTACAAGAACGTTGCTGGCTAATGCTGTGATTCTGCTTTGTGGGTTTTCCCTGCAAGAACATAAACTAGTTTAGCACCCAGGCTATAATTAGCCAGCCAGCTCAAGAAACAGTGGTTATTTTAATTTCAAAAAATAAGGGAGAAGAAAAAATCTGACAACAAGGATTATTCAGGGCCTCAGTTCTAGTTCTAGTTCGATGGAAATGTATAATGAAATCTTTTAATAAGAAAAGAAATATGACTTGAAAAATTGTATAAAGGAAATATATATACTCTACACCACATAGTGGTAAGGGTATTATGTCTTTGGGCATTTGTTTGCAACATGGAGAAGGAATCGAGATAGACCCATAGTTACTTTTGAGAATATTCATAGAATCACTTTCTGAGACGATTTACGCATGTCAGTCCGTCCGTCCATGTATTCTTGTGAACAAAATGTAGGTCGCATTCAATATCCGATTGAGATGAAATTCTGGAAACAATATTTTTTTATGCCCAAGGACGAACCCTATTGAAATTGGTGATAATCGTATCAGATTTAGGAATTGCTCCCATATATTTTCAACCGATTTCGGGTTAATTGTGCACCAAATAGACAATATCAATCCAAATGACCTGAATTTTGGCACATCCGACCGAATTCAGTCTAGAAGCAATTAAATTAAATATATAATATAGGATATAACTCCCCTATATATATTTAACCGATTTCAGGTTAATTGTACACCAAACAGCCAATAACAGTCCAAATGACCTGAATTTTGGAACATTCGATCAAATTCACTCTAGAAGGAATTTTTATTCAATTTTGTGAAAATCGGTTCAGATATAGCTATAGCTCCTATATATATGTTTCACCGATTTGGTGTTTAAGTCCCTCACAATGATAAAATACATTCGACAACAATGATATTTGGTAGCAGATATCAGATACAGCCCAGAAATACATATACCAGATTTTTTCGAGATCGGTTTAGATTTGGATATAGCTCCTCTATATATCTTCAACCGATTTCGGATTAATTGTGCACCAATTGACCAATATTAGTCCAAAAAACCTGAATTTTGGCACATCCGACCGAATTCAGTATCGAAGCAAGTACATCGAATGTGGTGAAAATCCGTTCAGATATAGCTATAGCTCCCATATATATGTTTCATCCGATTTGGGGTTTTAAGTCCCTCACATTCGTAATACGCATTCGACAGCAATGATATTTGATACCAGATATCTTATAGAGCTCGGAAAAAAACCTCCGCCAAATTTTAGCAAGATTAGTTCAGATTTGGATATAGGCCCCGTCCGACTTTTGACTTTTCCTTACTGGTTTTTATACCCTCCACCAGAGTATGGAGGATATATTAAGTTTGTCATTCCTTTTGTAACACCTCGAAATATACATTTTAGACCCCACAAAGTATATATATTCTTGATCAGCTTCAAATTCTATGTCTATTTGGCGATGTACGTCCGTCTATCCGTCTGTCCGTCTGTGGAAATCACTCTAGCGAACGAACGAACGAAATGAAGTAGGTTGATAAAATTTTACTCAAATGTGTGTTATGTCTGCCGGACATTTGTTATTGAAAATGGGTGATGTAGGTTCACATTTTGGTATAGACCCCATAAACTGGTACCTCCCTTTTTTCGGTATTTTGCTGATTTAAGCGACATTATTTGCCGGAATTGTTTCAAATTTGGTGTTTTAAGTTCGTAATGGATACTACAGCTTAAGACAGAAAATTATGTGTGTAGGTCCACGTCTTGATGTAGCCCCAAAATAACGGTATTATTCATCGGAATTGTTTCAAATTTAGTATTTGAAGTTCGTAATGAATACTACTGCCGAAGACAGAAAATTGTCTGTACACGTCCATGTCTTCGTATAGCCCCCATATAACAGTACCTCCCGATATTCGGTATTTTGATGGTTTTAGCGACATTATTCACCGGAATTGTTTCAAATTTAGTAGTTGAAGTTCGTAATGAATACTACAGCCTGTGACAGGAGATTATCTGTGCAGGTCCACGTCTTCGTATAGTCCCCCATACAACGGTACCTCCGAATATTCCGTTTTTTGATTATTTTAGCGACATCATACACCGGAATCCTTTCAAATTTTTTATTTGATGTTCGTAATACCGTACATTCCGATATACGGCATTTAGATGTATTCAGCGACATTATTTCCCGGAATTGTTTCAAATTTGGTATTTGAAGTTCGTAATGAATACTATAGCCTATGACAGAAAATTGTCTGTGCAGGTCCACATTTTGCTATAGGTCCCATATATTCGTACCTCCCTATATTGATGATTTTAGCTACATTATTCACCGAATTTTTTTATTCAAGTTTCGCATTTGAATATTGTAATGGTATATGACAGAAGTCTCCTATACAGCTCCACTTCGTGGTTTAGACCCTAAAATAACGGCAACATTTGATATTTTTAAGATTTTAGCAGAATTTTTAACGAATTTTATTTTTTGAAAATTGCCAAAATCGTTCCAAATTGTGGAGGATATTCAAAGATTGGCCCGGCCGAACTTACAGCTTTTTCTACTTGTTTTTAATTGAATTGAATTGAGTTGTACATTTTACAACATATTTTCACCTTGCCACACTATGTATTGGGGGTATTTTATATTCGCACAAAATTTTAAAGAAAGTTAGCATGGGTGAAGTTTTAGGACCCAACATGTTTAAGGATGTGAAGATTAAACAAATAAAAAAAAATCGGCCCTACAGGTCACATTTAAAACCCAATCGACACGAACGTCAGAAGTCATTTGGATGAGCATTGGAGTATATTTTTTTGCGACTCAAATGTACCACAACTTTTGTGTGAAATTGTTTTGAATACCTATCAGCATGACATAGAGCCTACAAAAACGGCCAAATATATGTGTGCAGGGCTATATGCCAAAGAAATCTAAAAAAAAATGGATTTGGACCTAAGGAGGCTATCAACATATTATAGCGCTGTAGAGTATCACATGGTCGACCCCGCACGATTATAGCGTTTGCTCACTTGTTTATTTATTATACAGGTTATTTTTTACCTCTATTTCTTCCTTTTATAGTTCTATTTTCATAATTTACAGAGTCTTTTCTGAGTGTAATAAGGCTCACCAAGAAGATCGAGCGCTAACGGTTATATTGTCAAATTATATTTGTTTGTTTCAATGTGACAATTTCGTTTTGTTACCGTCCTCTTTATCCCTTGTCATCACTGTAAACAAATTAACAAAAACTTGTTTCCTAGGGATAGGTTAAATCACATATTTTAAGTTACTTCGATAATTACATTACGTTGTGTGTAACCAGTTTTTTTTTACAAAAGCAAAACTGGTTTGCAAAACTGAATTTAGAATTCCTTTGTGCATCCATTGCACAGGGTCAATGGCAACAAAAACAACGGCCTACAAACAAACTCATACGGCAAATCCTGTTTTCGTTAAAGAAAAACAAAAACCTAACAGAGATACTCCCTACAAAATTCTTCCTAGAAATAAGGAGGAGGACAATTTGTTTATGCATCAATTCATTCATCCATCCATTCTAGATTTTATAATAGCCTTCTTTTTGTTGAACACGTTTAAAATAACCTGATGCTTATATTTGCAAAACGAAAATCTAAAACCCTGAATAACGACTGGCTCTGCACATTTCTGTTATTGGAATTTTTCACTAAAAATATATCTATAAATACAAAAGGTGCAGAAGGTTCACACATCTTCATGTAACCTGTGCGGAGGTCTATTTGATTTGAATTGAAATAAATCTTTTATCTGTCGGTAGTCTCGTGTGATAGTCGTGGGAGTCGATAGTGTCCCGCTGCTATTCACCAACGTTTGTCTAACGTGTCATTTTATGTCACCCTATTTCTAACACATTTTAAATCATGTTTTCAATTTCAACGGTATTTCACTTCTTTGTGAAGAGGTGTATTCGATTTTTTGGTGGGAATGTGAAAAAACAAATAAAAAATGGAGAATTTTTTGCAATACTTATTTACGGACTAAGGAGTTTCAAGCAAGGATTTTTTAATATTTTTTTCAAATAGTTTTTCAAGGACCAAAAGTGGATTTTTTGTAAATATTTTTTTTCAAAGAATTTAAAATTGATTTTTTAAGTATTTTTTTAAGGACCAAAAGTGGATTTTTTGGATATATTTTTTAAGGATCAAATGTAAATTTTTTAAATATATTATTCAAGTATCAAACTTATTTCTTTTAATATTTTTGAGGGATCAAACGTAAATGTTTTTTAAATATTTTCTTAAGGATCAAACATGGATTTTATTATATATTATTTCAAGGACCAAATATGGTTTTTTAATATTTTTTTAAGAATCAAAAAAAAAATGTTTTTAAAAATTTATTTTCAAGGATCAAATTTATGGAATTGATTTAGGGAATTGATTGAATTTTTTAAATATTTCTTTCAAGGATCAAACTTAGATTTTCTTTAAATTTTTATCATGGATCAAACTTGAATTTCCAAGGATCAAACATTGATTTTTTTAAAATATTTTTCAAGGATCAAACATGGATTTTTTAAATATTTTTTTCAAGGATCAAAAGAGGATTTTCTTTAAATGTTTTTTCAAGAAATGCGGATTTTCTTTAAATATTTTTTCAAGGATCAAACGTGAATTTTTGTAAAATATTTTTTTAAGGATCAAACGTGGATTTATTTAAAATATTTCTTCCAAGATAAATCGTGGATCTCTTTCAATATTATTTCAAGGATCAAAAGGGGATTTTTTTAAATATTTATTTAAGGATCAAAGGTGGAATATTTGAATATTTTCTCAAGGATCAAACGTAGATTTTTATAAATATTTTTCAAAGGATATATCGTGGATTTTTTTAAATATTTTCATTATCAAACCTTTAATTTTTTAAATATTTCTTTCAATGATCAAAGTAAGATTTTTTAAAATATTTTTTCAAGGATTTTTATAAATAAAGGATCAAACGT